CAGAAGAGGTGGCAGCGCACGAAGGGAGGTGATGTTGATGAGCTGTGTTACATCACCAGTAGGAAACCAGTCTACGACGACGCAGGAAGGACCAAGTTTGTTGGCCCCTCACACTTCAACCGGGTATGTAACGAGTGATCATACTGGTAGATCAATTGTAGTGCTCAGAGATAGTGGAGCAGCCCAGTCCCTGATCGTGAAGAGCTCGTTACCCGAGGGAGTAAGTGTGGATGGGAGACCAGAGGTTATCCTGGTTGGGTTTCCGAGAACGCAGTATATCGCCCCCTTAGTGCCAGTACATCTCAACTCGCCTTACTTCAGCGGCACCTGTGAGTTGGCAGTAGTCGATACCCTCCCTGTGGCTGGGATTGACGTGGTACTAGCCAACGACCTGGTGACCGATTGGAGCACCAATCATCCCAAGATAGCGGACGAGTCAGCCAGAACATCAAGGTCTGAGGTAACGACGGGCCGTGGTAATGTCCAAGTAAAGACAGACCCGGATGTAACTATGTTTAATTTGTCCTCTCGCCTACAGATTGAGATCGACAGTTATCTAGCAGTGTCTCCTGATTCTTCTCTTGACAAGGAGCATGAGGTTACGATGGCAGAAGTACCTGAGCTAGAAGAGAGGCCTTGTGTGCAGACACCCACGGATACCAACGAGTCTGGAGCGAAGGCTGAGGTGTGCTTGCGGTATGACAAGTTACAGCGTGTAGTGGACCAGCCAGAGATTCCCCAGACGTCAGAGGTATGTGAGGCATGTTCTAAAGGTCTAGTGCCCTCTTTGGTCCAAGCCAGGCTAGTGGATGGTGCCGGCTATGGACATGACAAGCTCAGGAAACTTATCCCTCGACTTACCAAATGTTTCCTATCGGTATTTTGTTTTGTTCTCCTATGTGCTCTCTGTGTTCTCAGTAAGGATCAGTGGACGACCCGAAGGATGATGGCTCCCGTGAACATCGAGAAGAGGTCCCAGGGATTGGAGAGTTGTACTGCAAGTGTTGCAGTTGAAGAAGGGACCTGGGAGGTAATAGATGATACAGGAGGTACGACATGTGATAATGTGAGTGACTGTTTCCGACAGGTTGACACCCCCCGTGTGATTGCTGAGCCTCAACACAGCGTTATGCGGAACGTTGGTCGACCTGACGGTGGCAGAGTGAATGCCATCTGCGACGTACAAGCAGCCCTGTTGAGACTAGGAGTGGACCTAGTAGGGTATGCCGTAAGTATTGACTTACCCACTGTCGCGATCACTCTGAATTATCTGACCCCTGTATTCCAGGTTCCTGTCTCCCTGAAGGACCACCGGATCGGTACTAGAAATACCGTCTGTGGTCAGCCATCATCGGTGCCACGACATAAGGATGTGTCGAGTCACCCCAGATCGTGTCGAAACCAATCCGTACTCGAGGGATGTGAGATGATGCCCCTGCTTGACATCGCAGTGGAGACGTGGGAGACGGGGAAGATTACTTCGGGCAGATCATTGCCTTCTATCTGCAAGCTCCCGTTGTGCCGGAAATGGCTAGTAGAAAAGTTCTGTGGACAAGACAGCCTCATCACTCTAGTTCATAGTATAAGTAAGTCCATTTGGAGTTGTGTCGCCCTGCTAATTTGGTTTGTGTTTTTTATAGAACCCCAAACCAAATTCTTTTTGGTGGGGAGGTGTTACGAACCCGGATCCATCGTCCGAGCCTGGAGCAGTGACAAACACGCCATCTGTGGGTCAGCTCCCGAAACCCCCGCCAAACGAGCGACGACACCTAGTGAGGACAGCGTGTACTGGCCTCGAGGACCAGTTTCCAGTCTGGTTCAGCGCTCAACACCGCCGCTCCTGACCTCTGGTGAGGTGGTGCTCCGACGACAGCGCCATCTAGGGAGTGGATATGTCGGGCGTTTGTATCTGAGCCTGTGAGTGTGGTGTATTAGTGTCCCTGTTATTAATGACGTGTCTGCTTACAGAGCCGACCTGGGACCACTGTGTTGAAGGTGGAGTCAGTCTACCCGAGGCAGCCAGCCTCTATACAGTGAAGTTTGCTGCAGCTTTTGTGACGTCGTCCCCCCGGAAGAACACTGTGGTGTGTTAGCCTGCCATTGGAGTGGCAGTTAAAGGATTTACCCGGGACCGACGGTTGGAGACGATAATCCACTGGGGTATTGAGGACAGGAGGGTGATTGGTGATATCACACGAGACTCCTGTCTAGGGCGTACCCCTTTTATCGTTCGTGGAGTGGCCGTACCAGCCTTGGTGGCTCAGTACCTGCCAGCAGACCTGCTGGACGTGTGGTTGACGGCCTCCACGACGGTGCCCCCAGTGGACCTGTGTTGTGGCTGACCTGTGGCCAGGGTAGACTCGGCGTTCTCAGAGGACACGTCTTGAGGCCACGAAGAAAGCACCGCGGACTCAGCACCTAGCTTCAAGGATCCATAGTCTCAAGCAGAAGACTACAGTGGTGATCCCCTTTGTAAAGTGTTAATACCCCTCCCCCTTGTGTACGTTTTATTTCTATATATTTAAATGGTGATGGTGAAAATTATATTATATTAAGTTCTTACCTTTCTTTCCCTACTCCCTTTAAGTTACTTACGTCACGGATCGCATCCCTTGATAGCCTCTACTGGCTTGGGGCCGGAAATATATCTACCTCTAACTACATCAGAGTAAGAACCCCGTTGCGTCCCGAGAGGGCCGTAACAATCATGCTTATATATTTATAATTACATTATATATACACAATGTACAGTATCACACACTATATACACACACACTATACACACACTCAATACTCCGCGAGTGTGTGATATGCTGTGAAACAGCCAACGGGGTACAGTGGCACCTTGCACTCCACGCACAAGATGCTGACGCATCTTCGCTTTGGTCTCTGCGGGTAGTGTTCCTGCATACTATGCACGCACGTTTACCCTTCTTGAGCATGTGTACCCCAAAGTTCTCATTACCCCGCAGTTTGTCTGGAGCTGCAAGTGGCATTGTTGCTTGCACCTCGCACGGTACAACGGAGCCCCTCCTTGCCATACTTTACCAGCAGCTGTGACACAACGCTGGCACTGAAGGTACGTATAGACGGTTTCCTGCCAGACTTTACTAGGTACATATTGAAGCAGTTGAGCACTGCAACATCCATCAGGTGGAAGAAGAATTTTTTCGTCCACTTCACAGACCTGCGCACGCACTCCACACCATCATCATGTCACACTTATCGACGAGGCGCACGTTCACGTTATAGTCTATGACACAGTCCGGCTTATACATGGGGTTGCGCATCTGAAAGTGGACCTTGCTACTGTCCACCATGGCACCGATGTGAATCGTCGTCAGCATATTCACCTCCCGTCTATCTTTCCACAGCACTGACAGCATATTTTCACACTTGCGCAGCTGGCACTCACCCACTGGTATACCTATACCGAACACTGGCATTTCCTTCCTAAGGACCTTCACAATGCCACATGCACCGGTGTTGTGGGCGAGGAGGTATCTAGTCAATAGGGGGCTGATGTAATAGTTGTCGGTGAACAGTATATGCCCCCTGTTCAGCAACGGTTCCATCAGGGTTTTTACGACACTGCCGGAGAACCTGTGTTCATCTTGAACTGGTATGTCGACGTCTGTACCAGAATACAAGATCATGTCCAGGACGATACCAATCTCACAGTCGCACAGCACGAAAAACTTCAGTCCAAAACGGTGCTGCTTTGAAGGGATGTACTGCTTGAATGCAGTCTGTCCTTGAACAGTACAAGCGATTCGTCGATAACCACATTCTGTCCAGGTACAAAATAATCCCTGAACTTCTCTCTCAAGTCACTGAAGACCTTCCGTACCTTCCACGGTCTGTCGTGTCTGTCTTCATTTGCATTATTCTTGAAATGCAGGCACCTGAGAATCAAGAAGAACCTATCCCGTGACATATACCGGTTGAACACGGGCGATGGAACAAGGCAGTCTTTGTTCCAATAGTCTTGGTCGACAGCTTTCTTGGAGTGCTTCATCATCATGCAGAGTGCCAGAAACACGTACATTTCGTCGATTGTCGTGTCCTTCCATCGCGTAAGGCGTGAGGCAGGTAATATGCTGCCGTCTATGAGGCTGTGAGCGTATGTGTTGGTCTCAGTCACAAGAAGCGTCAAGAAAACGTCGTCAAAATATGCGTGGAAATATTCCATGTCCGCCATATCATCACCGGTATACGGGAATAATGTTGTAACACCAACATCGGTATCATCAAACGTTGGTATTTGAGGGACAAATGTGGTGCAATCCTCCCACACAAGTACACCAGGGGGTTTGGTGTTGGCGCCAACACCACGGCCAACACCACCACGAGCACCAAACCATAGCTACTTCGTTTCCTGTTGCTGCTGGAGCTGTGCGAGAGTATGCTTGGCGCTGAGGCAGATTTACGTACCGTATGCCTACCACGAACATGTGATGGTGAGGGCCTACTGTCGTCATGCTGTGAGACACGCTGTCGTCTGCCTCGATGTGTTGCTGAGGCAGCAAAACCACGCCTGGTACCATCCCCGCTGCTAGTACTCGGGTCGTCCACACTACTCGTATCGGTGCCAATGTCACTGAAGCCCGAGAAAGATTCATCACATGTATTGTCACTGAATAGACTTGCATCTGAGGACATACATGATGGTGGTGGTGATGATAACGGTGTTGACCCACGGCGGCAAGGCAGGCTGGGCGAGGCGCGTGTACCATACATGCTCACCACATCATCCACTTCCGTCTCTCCCTCACTCTTATCAGACCTCTGTGTCAGGTCTTTCTCTGGATCATAGTCCAGGTCATCATCCATAGCACCATCATCGTACAAAATATCACGTATCTCCTCCTCAGAGAGTCGTTTTACATGACCGCGGGTCACCATGGAGCGGGAGCTCATTGACGATGCGTCAGACATGGTTGTTGCTTGGGAACTGGGGCTTCCCACGGCCACGGGGGATGCTGGGAATTTTTTTCAAGATGACGGGCGATAACTGGGGCCCCCAGGCATCCATTCCATACCCGCGTCACCGCGCCCCCACTTTTAAATGGAACGTGAAAAATACAAATACCCGGAGGTATTTGCATTCGTCACCGTTGGCGGGTCACCTGTGGGTTTGACGTACGTTTTAGGTGTCACCTGTGGGTTTGACGTACGTTTTAGGTGTCACCTCTGGGTTTGCCGCATGTTGGACGGTCACCTAATTTGTTTTGCACAATTTGGGGGGTCACTTCTCGGCTTTCCGCACGGATGTTCGGGGTACACATGCTCAAGAAGGGTAAACGTGCGTGCATAGTATGCAGGAACACTACCCGCAGAGACCAAAGCGAAGATGCGTCAGCATCTTGTGCGTGGAGTGCAAAGTGCCACTGTACCCCGTTGGCTGTTTCACAGCATATCACACACTCGCGGAGTATTGAGTGTGTGTATAGTGTGTGTGTATATAGTGTGTGATACTGTACATTGTGTATATATAATGTAATTATAAATATATAAGCATGATTCACTGAAGATATGTGCAGGATAAGTGTACTTGTTTGTGAGAAACATAGCACAGTGTCTACGGATGTTCTACTGTCATAATATAGTGTACGTGTTTACCATACATTGGATAGGCACGTAAAATCTAATCAATTGTATTTGGCACTGTGCGCAAAAAATTAACAAAAATACATTCGCGGCAGGTGCAGGCATCCAGCCCTACGGGGAGCCGGTCGGCCAAGCGGACAGCACACTGGGCTTGTGATCCTGTGGTCCCAGGTTCGATCCCGGGCGCCGGCGAGAAACGATGGGCAGAGTTTCTTCCACCCTATGCCCCAGTTACCTAGCAGTAAATAGGTACCTGGGTGTTAGTCACCTGTCACGGGCTGCTTCCTGGGGGTGGAGGCCTGGTCGAGGACCTGGCCGCGGGGACACTAAAGCCCCGAAATTATCTCAAGATAACCTCAAGATAGCCCTGGGTGCCCTTCTGGCCCCGGAGCTTACGTCACGGACACACGGGGAATGATGACGTCACACTCCACCTTACGGACCCATAGCAGCCAAAGTAAGTACAATTACGACATTCCGTTGCTATGCCCATTTTCGGGGAAGGGTTTTTGACACTTTCAAAACAAAAAAGATTTTTTTTCCTGAGATTTTATTTCCTGCGCACTGAGGGGGGGGGGGGATGTCATATTTGGAGGCCACGCAGTTAAGGGGTTAACATGCCCCAAATCCAGAAATGAATATCCAACGTGCGCCAATCCCAGAGGTGACCTTCCGACGTGGGACAAATCTAGAGATAACCCTCCAACTTCTGCCAAACCCAAAGCTAACCCCCACAAAGTACTGCAAACCCAGAGGTGACCCTCCATCGGGCGCCAAACCCAAAGGTGACCCTTCAACATGCGGAAAACTCTGAGATGACCCTCCATTGTGCGGCAGACGAAGAGGTGACCCTCTAACGTACGGTACTCCCAGAGGTGACCCTCCAACGTGCAGCAAACTCTGAGTTGACTCTCCAACGTGCGGCAAACACCGAGGTGACGCTCCAAAGGGCGCCAAACCCAAAGCTGACGCTCCAACGGGCGCCAAACCCAAAGCTGACCCTTCAGTGTGTGGCAATCCCAGAAGTGACCCCTCTAACATGATGCAAAATGCAGAGGTGACCCCTGTCCGCGTGGCAAACCCAGAGGTGACCCTCCAACGTTCGCAAAACCTCAGATGAACCTCCATCGTGCACGAAACACCGAATTGACCTTCCAACTTGCGACAAACCCAGAGGTGACTCTTCAACGTCCAGCAATCCCATATCCTGGAAACACAAACCGAAATTGTCTCTATTTTCCGCTTGTTACAACTTGTAATAAAGTTGTTACATCTTGGCTTAACGTGTTTATGACGTATTAGAACGTTGTTACAACTTGCTATATTGGTTGTTATAACTGGTTAGGAGGTGTTACAACTTGTTCGAACGTTGTACCAACGTCGTAGTTTCGGTGTGTGTTTGGCGGGATATAAGTTACCCTCCAATGTGCAGCAAACCTTGAGGTGAACCTCCAATGTGCTGCAAACACAGAGGAGACCTTCAAATGTGCGCCAAACCAGAGATGACCCCTCCAATGTGTGGAAAACTTAAAGGTGAGCCTCAAACGTGTGGCAAACTCGGAGGTGATCCTCCAAAATGCGGCAAACCCAGGGGTGACCCTCCAACGTGCTGTAAACTCAGAGGAGACCCTCCAACGTGCAGCAAACCCAGAGGTGACCATCCAATATGAGAAAAAATCCAGAGGTGACCCTTCAACGTGCGGTAAACAGAGACATGACCTTCCAACGTGCGGAAAACCCAGAGATGACTCTCCATCGTGCGCCAAACTCAAAGGTGACCCTCTAACGTGCGGCAAACCCAGAGGTGACCCTCCAACTTGCGGCACACCCAAAGCTGACCCTGCAACATGCGTCGAACCCAGAGATGTCCCCTTCAACTTGCGGCAAACTCTTCGTGACCCTCCAACGTGCGCCAAACCCACAAGTGATTATCCAACGTGCGGCAAATCTCAAGGTAACCCTCCAACGTACGACAAACTTTGAGGTGACCCTCCAACGTTCGGTAAACCCAGAGGTGCCCCTCCAACGTGCGTCAAACCCAAAGATGACCCCTTCAACGTGCTGCAAATTCTGAGGTAACCCTCGAACGTGCTGTAAACCCAGAGGTGGCCCTCCAACAAGAGGTAAATTCAAAGGTGACCCTTAAACGTGCTGCAAACCCAGACGTGATTCTCCCACGTGCAGTAAACTCAGAGGTGACTCTCCAACGTTCGCCAAACTCGGAGGTGACCCTCCAACGTGCGCAAAACCCAGGTTTTTACACTCCAACGTGCGGCAAACACAAAGGTGACCCTCCAACATGTAGAAAACCCAATGATGAACCTCCAACGTGTGACAAACCCAGAGGAGAACTTCTAATGTGCAGCAAACCCATAGATGATTCTCCAGCGAGCGTCAAAGCCAAATGTGATCCTTCAACATGCGGGAAACCCAGAGGAGACCCTCCAACGTGCGTCAAACCCAGAGGTGACCCTCCACCGTGTGGTAAACCTATAGTTGAGTCTTCAACGTACAACACTCCAAGAGTTTAACTTCCAATGTAAGTCAAACTCAGAGGAGATCCTCCAACGTGCAGCAAGCCCAGAGGTAACCCTCCAACGTACGGTAAGACCAGAGGTGACCCACCAACGTACGGCAAGACCAGAGGTGACCCACCAACGTACGGCAAGACCAGAGGTGACCCACCAACGTACGGCAAGACCAGAGGTGGCCCTCCAACGTACGGCAAGACCAGAGGTGACTCACCAACGTACGGCAAGACCAGAGGTGACCCTCCAACGTACGGCAAGACCAGAGGTGACCCACCAACGTACGGCAAGACCAGAGGTGACCCTCCAACGTACGGCAAGACCAGAGGTGACCCTCCAACGTTCGACAAAACCAGAGGTGACCCGCCAATGTGCGGCAAATACAAAGGTGGACCTCCAACGTGTGCCAAACCCCCGAGGTGACCCTCCAACGTGCGCCAATACCAGAAGTAACCCTTCATCGAGTGGCAAACTCAAAGATGACCCCTCAAACGTACGCCAAAATTAGAGGTGTCCCTTGAACGTGCGGCTAGCCCAGAGGTGACCCTCCAACATTCGACAAACCCAGAAGTGACACCTAAAAAGTACGCCAAACCTCAGGTGACTCTCCAACTTGCGGCAAACCTTGAAAGGACCCTCCAACGTTCGCCAAACTCAGAGGTGACCCTCCAACGTGCGCCAAACACAGAGGTGACCATCCAACGTGCGGCTTTCGAAAAGATGACCCTTCAACGTGAGGCAAACCAAGAGGTGACCCTCCAACGCGCGCCAAACCCAGAGGTGACCTTCTAACGGGTGCGAAACCAAGAGGTGACTCTCCAACATGCGGGAAACTCTAGGGTGACCCTCCCACGTTCGAAAAACCCAGAGGTGACCCTTCAACGGGCGGCAAACTCAGAGGTGACCCTCCAACATTCTGCAAACGTTGCCCTTCAACGTGCACCAAATTCCGAACTGAGCTTCCAAAGTGAGGCAAAGTTACAGGTGACCCTCCATCGTACGCCAAACCCAAAGGTAACCCTCCAACATGCAACAAACCCAGAGGTGATCCTTAAACGTGCGCAAAGCCAAAAGATGGCCCTCCAACGTGCGGCAAACCCAGAAACGACCTTCCAACGTGCACAAAATTAAGAGGTGACCCTCCAACATGCACCAAACCCAGGGGTGACCCTACACCATATGGTAAAACCAAGAGGTGACCATCCAACTTGCGCCAAATCAGTTTAGGTAAGTTACATTAGGTGGAGGAGGTTAGGTAGGTGAGTGTAGATAAGTTATGTTACATGATGTAAGTTAAGTTAGTAAGTTATGTTTGGCGGTTAGGTTAAGATGGGTAAGTTATGTTAAGGTAGTAGGGTTAGGTTAGGTTATGTAAGTTAGGTTAAGTAATGTAAGTTAAGTTAGTAAGTTGAGTTATAGAAGTTACATTAGGTAGGAGAGAAATAGGTTAGATTATATTAAGCAAGAAAGGTTAGGTTAAGTTATATTAGTAAAGCTACGTTTTGCTAAGCTATGTAAGGTTAGGTTATTTTAGGTTATGTTAAGTAAGTTATGTTTAGTAAGTAAAGTTAGCATTGGTTAGGTTATGTAAGTCAAGTTAAGTTAAGTAAGTTACATTAAGTTAGTGAGGTTATGACAGGTTAGGTTATGTAAGTTAACTTAAGTTAGGTAATGTAAGTTAAGTTAAGTTTAGTTAAGTTAGGTTAGGTTAAGTTGGGATAGATAAATTCCGTTACATAACCCAACGTGCACCAATCTCAGAGATGACCCTCTTATTTGCAACAAACCCAAAAGTGACTCTTCAAAGTGCGGCGTTTTCCCCATAAGAAACCTTTAAGTCCAAATGAGTGTTTGGTGATTTTTGTCTCCTATTTCCCCATAAGAAACCTTTAATTCCAAATCGGTAAGTGACAAAGTTTACCTGGAACCCCCACATTTTAAGCATGACTTTTCAAAAAAACGAAATATTGGGTTTACGGCGTTTACTGCCTACTTCTGTGGTGAGGTGCGGTATGTGTTGTGATGTACAGAAGGTGATGTGAGGCGAAGAATGTGTGAGAGGTGCAGCATATTTTGTGAGGTGAGGTATGTTGTGAGTTCCGGTATGTGTTTTGAGGTGAGATATTTTGTGAGGTGCAGCATGTGTTGTGATGTGAGGTATGTGTTGTGAGAAAAGGTATTTGTTGTGAGGTGCGGTATGCGTTGGGAGGTGCAGCAGGTGTTGTTAGGTGCAGCAGGTTTTGTAAGGTGAGGTATGTGTTGTGAAGTGCAGCAGATGTTGCAAGGTGTGGCATGTGATTTGAGGTGCGGTATGTGTTGTGAGGTGCGGTATGTGTTGTGAGGTGCGGTATATGTTGTGAGGTGCGGTATATGTTGTGAGGTGCAGTATATGTTGTGAGGTGCGGTATATGTTGTGAGGTGCGGTATATGTTGTGAGGTGCAGTATATGTTGTGAGGTGCAGTATATGTTGTGAGGTGCGGTATATGTTGTGAGGTGCAGTATATGTTGTGAGGTGCAGTATATGTTGTGAGATGCGGTATATGTTGTGAGGTGCAGTATATGTTGTGAGGTGCGGTATGTGTTGTGAGGTGCGGTATGTTACCTGGTTGATACCTGGTTGATGGGGTTCTGGGAGTTCTTCTACTCCCCAAGCCCGGCCCGAGGCCAGGCTTGACTTGTGAGAGTTTGGTCCACCAGGCTGTTGCTTGGAGCGGCCCACAGGCCCACATACCCACAACAGCCCGGTTGGTCCGGCACTCCTTGGAGGAATAAATCTAGTTTCCTCTTGAAGATGTCCACGGTTGTTCCGGCAATATTTCTTATGCTTGCTGGGAGGACGTTGAACAACCGTGGACCTCTGATGTTTATACAGTGTTCTCTGATTGTGCCTATGGCACCTCTGCTCTTCACTGGTTCTATGTGTTGTGAGGTGCGGTATATGTTGTGTGACTTTCTTAAATTCTTAAAATGAACTCTGTTGAATTTGGGGCTTAAACTGGTCTCTGACTAATTTTCGGTCTTAAATGGACTCTGACTATTTTCGGATTTCTACTGGACTCTGAATAATTTAGGTTTTTTACTGAACTCTGAATAATTTAGGTCTTTTACTGGACTATGACAATATTTGGATCTAAAATAATTTCTCATTTTTGTCTTATATGATCTTTGAAATTATTTGGTCTAAAAGGGTCTCTGACAATATTTGCGTCTATAATAATCTCTCATTTCGGTCTTATATGATATTTGACATTATTTGGTCTAAAATGGTCTCTGACAATATTTGAGTCTAAAATAATCTCTGTCAAATTTCGGTCTTCAAACGGTCTTTGAATGATTTTCAGTCTTTTACAGGTGAAATAGCTGTAAATGGATATAAAAATTAAGTCACGGCTAAGATGTCTATTTTCCTTAACAAAACTTCTATGACAATATTTTCTGAAAATGGTCTTTTTATCAAATTTCGGTCATAAACTCGTAAATACACTTCAATGATTATATGAACTCTGAAATATTTTCATAAAATTGAACTCTGAAAAATTTCGATTTTCTAAAAAAATTTGAAATCTTTAAGAACGTATGAGTGATTTTTTATCTGAATTTCCTCCATAAGAACTCTTTAACTCCAAATAAGTGAATCCCCCTCCACCAAAAAAAAAAAAAAGACCGTAGAGTTTATTCTCAGTAATACGAGAGCGAACTATGCCCCGGACTTTTATAAGAAACTTCTATGACTTCTATGAAATTATTTTCCTGATAAGAATTCTTAACAAACTTATATGAACAATTTATCCGAATATGATCTTTGAAAAATTTCGGTCTTTAAGTCTGGAAATCCGACACTCAAAACGGGAGATATGACCTGGAATGCCCTGCAGTTCAAACGCGAATGGCCAAATTTACCTGGAACCCCCCTGCAGTCTAAATGCGAATTAAAAAAAATCGTGTTTAGACTGCACTCCCATTGTACAGCGTAACTTCATTGCAGTTTACTATTTGAATAGGGTTGTGAGTGACATCCTGTTATTTTATGTCACATGGCTATTATTGATTCATTATTATTTTTCTAGTTGTTGAAGTGAATATGCGGTATCATTTTTTGCTGAAGATGCCAAGCATCCTATAGTGTCTCTGTGTATGTCAGCCTGCAGTCCTGGGTGAACTTAGTTAAGAATACTATCCAATACTGCACTTGCCGACGCCACTCGATAAAGGTAAGTGTCGGTGTCTAGCATGTTTGGGGTAATGCTGTTGAGTATATTCCAATTTTAGAGAAAATAATATTTTTTTTAAAGTTAAAGATTTAACTCTATTATTACTTTAATTTTTCCATAATTACTTTACTAGTACTATAATATTACATAATTTTGTGAAAATGCAAAATTTATATGTGATTAAGTACCTTTTCACTGAAGTCCTCGATACAGACAAAAATTTTTAAGCATTTTTTTAAGCTTCGGGCAAACATTTGAAACCTAAGATATGAGAAATCTTATCTAAACTCTGCGTCAAATACACTTTATATTCACTTTTTGCTCTGCCTTGCGTTCATTACTTAAACAAGATAAAATGTACAAATCAGCTTTAGGTCTCAATAATACTTAAGCGTTAAGCAAGATGAACCACTGTTTATTAGGGTGTTGAAGCTGTTAATGTATGCCCATAGAAAATAAACTTATTCAGATTTTTTTTATTTATTAAATAAATACCAAGTAGAAGAACTCACAGATATACCTTAATATATTGGAGAAAGTAACTTCGTAAAGTTCGCTCTGTTAAAATGTTTTCAGATCTATCATGTCTATATAACATTTTTGCTTTTCAATCCCAGAAGGTCCAAGTGATTAGGCCCCGTTTTCCACCCCATACTTTCGCGTCTTGCAGGGTCGGTGTTCGATCCCCGAAGGTCCAAGTGGTTGAACACCATTTCTTCACTCCGTCCTCACATCCCAGCACATCGTAGTGTTCCTTCCAAGAGTTATATATTCATACTGGCCTGGTGTTTTCACCTCATCATTTTCTTACCTGACCTTACATCCTCTTCTCATAAAGATTTATTTTCCTTCCCGGCTATTTCCTTCACACGCCTCAATTGTCAGTTGAAAACGTATGGTGAGGTGGATGAATGTATGACTGCTGAGTTCATTACGCAGGAAGCGTCATGGTCAGACGGCAGGTCGAACTTGGTGTTTACACGGTCACCAGTTCGACTTCATCTTCCACGTTTCCTTTTTTTCATATATTGCCCAAATAATACATGAGTTGGAATTATTCAGTCCTACACGTATCAATTATTTTATCTCCTTTCATATATTCTCACTTTTAATATATTTATTCCAACATCTTTTAAATATCTATTTATCACATTTAAATTATTTCTTTAATTATCATTTAATCACATTTTTAGATGCTTAATCACTTGTGT